TTAGGAACAAGCCAACTGAATTTCAATGTCCGTGGTACTGCAAAGTGGTAGAATAATGATTCATGAGACAGCCACAAAGTCCGCTTTAGGCAAGTACAGAATTTTAAGCAGTTTCACTAAAAACTTAAACATGGAATAGAGCAAAGAAGTAATGGGAATGAATTCACATGATGTTCAAAGCTTAACAGATTCTTGGCTGTTCGTGGGCTGCTTTACTCACTCTTGCTTGGAGATGCCTACTCTTTTGTATAGCAAAGGGTACCATACATATAGCTTCATTCTAAGCCTTGTTCCCGAGTACCTACTGTGTGGAATTCCTGCTCTCCCTTCTTAACACAACCCTTGCATAAGTACCTCTGCCCTCACATGAAAGCTAAGTGACAAGACTAATCCTGATACATCCCAGTAGTATTATTCAACTGATCCTGAACGCTGCTGCAAGAAAACAGGAATGTTACTGTACAGGGCCACAAAGCTTTCTGCTTCTGAAATACAACTTAAGAAATCTATCAAGTGCAAACTCTGTTATTATCAAGTTCATAGTGACACTGTTTACTTTGTCAGATTGTACAAGACTACGAGTAGGTGGAATTTTCATAGGGTGTAGCACATGACAGAAACTCCACCTGACAGTGGCTTAGTGGTTCTCATCTTTCTCTTTCCCATCTACCCATATTAATGTGAAGCCATAAGTGTGTCAACTTCCCACAAGGACCAATGAATAAAGAGAAGGCTGGTGATGAAGGGGATCTTTCTTCCCGCAAGAAAACAAAAATACAATCAATATGTTCTCATATTGTTCTTTATGAAATACAGGGAGCTTATTTTGCCTTCTTAATGAAGAGTTCCACATGCAAAGTTATTTTTTCTGATGTCTTTGTAGAAATAGTTCTCAGGACATTACATTAATTTCTCAGATAACCAGTATAGGTAGGAAACCAGCAAACAGAAGATGGAGTGAAAGAAACTTCTGTTAAAAAAAAAAAAAAAAAAATCATTCTTGAGTACCTAGAGACACCATATTCACAAGAAGAAAGCGTGAAAAGCACACCAAAAGAGACTCCATACGCACTAGCTAAATGACAGCCCTGTTTGAGGCACAGCTGTGAAGAAATTCCTACAGAACAGGTCACAAAATCACCTACAACAGCATAAAAGTTTAACTGCTAGACTTCTGCAATTACCAACTTTCTCCAACCCTAACTTTTGTGCTCATAGAAAGTTAAATGTGGTGTAATTTTAGGCCTTATTCATTCTCAACTATTTTTCATAGCTGAATAAGCAAAATGTCTACTTGTAGGTGCACATGAATTCCAGATGTTTTGAACAACATCTCACTATGCAAGACTTAATTTTCATTAATAAAATTAACCAAAACTGGTACAAGTTTCCAAGCTTCCCATAAATTTAAGTTGTTGGAGTTTTGTGGTTTTTTTTCCACTTACCAGCAATTTTAACTGGTTGTAACATTTTATAGGGACAGTATTGACCATCACACTGAATGGTAAAACAAGGCAAAATGAGACCAAGTTGCATGGCACCACAGATAATAAATTGCAACTGGTTTTTCAGGGTTCACATTTTCCAGTAATATCACTTATTACTACAAAACACCATATCCAGAGTGGTAATAGGAGACTATTTAGCAGAGTAAAACAAGATATGCAATACAGCCTGTGGTACAGATTTAGAAGAATAATCTTTGCAGGAGACAGCTTTTCTATACTCAAATGGATGATTCTCCTAATGTCTTAGAAAGAGTCTACTAGCTGTGTATCTTTAAACATTCAGTCTATAGGAATCCAATCAGGAACCAAGTAAAAAAAGGAACTACATGCTTGCGTCTTTGACATGATGATTTACCACTGGTTCTAGAACAGGTGGTAGATAACATGAGTTGTTTAGTGAGCTCTATCAGCAGAAAGCAAACCCTACATATTATTTTTACACTTATATTTAACTACTATTAAAAGATACCCACTATCCACCCTGCAAGTCAGACAGTGAGGTTTTAATATTAAAGTGTGTCATTAAACAAATCACCCAAATAACTTGTTTGCTTTCTGTCATTCAAGCTGACAAACCCAATGATGTTGGTCAACCACTGTTCATGGTCTCAAAGCATTCATAACTAGATTTGGACTTCCACAGATGTTTAAAGACACAAGCTGTTCATTAAGACTTGGATCCTTGGATGTATTTGCAAGTTTTGACAAACCAGTTTTTATCCAATGTCAAAATACAGGACATAATTTTTGAAACAAAGTTACAAGAAGGATAAGGATTTAGAGTCAAATTATTTCTGTACTCAGAGAAGTTTGCAACCAGTTCAAAGTGGTTACAAAAACAACGTTCAGAATCTGCATTCTGAATCTCTACATTCAAATAAAAACCAATCAAATCCCACCAGACACCACAAATGAAGAAACATCACTTTTATTTAACGCAGCCAGCCATTGTGGCATATTGGCATAGGTATGTGTACCAGAGAATGTGCTCACTTTTAGACAAAAAAATTGCTTGTAACTTAATCAGTACAAGAGCTCTAAGGAAAGAAAATTAACTAGGAAAGAGATGAGCATATGGAAAGTTAGCAAAACAGCTGTTCAGAGCAGCAGTGGGTTATGAACAAGAGGTCCGGAGCGAATCCTATTTTAGGGCCTCCACTAAGGATCAGGTAGTGATGACAGTCTGATATATCAGCTGAACTCATACACTGCGGATTGCTATCTTCGTACTGAGGGAAGATGCCAGATAAAACAGTGGTGCAGAACTTGGCACCACACTGAAAATCCACTCGTATCAACATACAGCTATTTATCAACACACCAACGTACTGGATTGTGCAATAGCAAAAAGAACTGAGCTAAGAAGGAGCTGGAAGTGAAGAGAAATATACTTTAAAATTCGCTATGATTACAGTTTACATTTCAAAGAAGAGATACAAATTCACTGTCCTCTTCTGGTGAAGTCTAGCTCTCCAACCTCCATTTCATACCCATATTCTGCCAATGACCCCAAAAGTAGCAGGCCTGTCAGCCCGTCTCCTGACGCCTGCCTCCTGACTTGGCTCACAGAGGATTGTCAGATCATCATCCCAATATGGCTGCCTCAGGAATTGTGCTGTTCTGAATCCAGGGACAGATCCACTACCTACAGGTCCACAAAACACACCCTGAAAACCACAATCCTTTTACATTCTGGCATCTTTCAGCTGGCTGAGGGACTACGCCTCCCTCCCGAACAAGCAATCATCGCCGTCACCACATCCGAGCTACAAAGGAGAAAAAAGGACGACGAAACGCGGCGGTATTCGCGACCCACACAGCGGACGGGAATCACACAAGGAAAAGGACGGGAAGCGGTCGGACCGCCATGGCTTGGGGCGCCTGGGGCAAAGGGGAAGGCAGCATCCCAGGGGACAAATACATGCATCAGGCAAATGCAGGGGAAGAAAGGCCCCACGCCCTTGTGCCGCTGCCCTGACAGCTCCGGGGCAGCCTGTCCTGCCAGTACACCCCATCCCGCCCCTCCACCTCTCAGGCCCCATCCCACCCATGGCGAGTCGGTCCCCCTATTCACCCCGTCGAACAGCTGCCTAAACCCGCCTCCCCCACCGCATTACAGCATCCACTCCCCTCTCCGCACCAAGCCGTTCCCCTGCGGGCCGAGCTCTCTCAGCGCCTCACCTGGGGACGGGCGGGGGTGTCCGCAGGACGCGGGCAGTGGGGGCCGCCGGCGCTGTCAGCAGCTGAGAAGGGCGGCGGGGCCGGTGAAGCAGCGCAGCGCGGGGCGGAGGAGAGAGAAGAGGCCGGACACCTCCATCACGCTTCGCTGCCTCCACCGAGGCTGGGAGACCCCTCCCGCCGCCAGGAAGGAAGCGGGGAGGGCGAGGGAGGGAAGGAGGAGGGGAGAAAGGGGGAGGGAGAAAAGAGAAAGGCCGCGCCGGGAAGAACGAGCGCAGCGCCGCGCTCCCCTCAGCGCCGCTCCCACACTGACAGGCTCGCGGCGCCCCGGGCCCGCCTCCGCAGGGGGAGGAATGTCAGCTCCGCCAATAGCAGCGCGCCGTCGCTCCCTCCTCCCTGCAGCCCACCAATCGTCAGGCGAATATTCCGCGTATTCCCGCCTTCCGCCTTGCCAATCACAGGCTGACACAGCTGTGAACCAATCACATCCCTCAGCCTCGCGGACACGGGGGATCGTCTCTTCTCCATCCCCAGCCAATCAGAACTCGGGATGGAAGCCGCGTCTTCCCTCTGTTAACCTATAGCGAGCGGAGAGAGCGCCCCGGGCCTTATCACCGCCCCTCCGCCGTGTGTGCGTGCGCGCCGCCTCAGGTTGTGGCGGGCTCAGCTTCGCGGCCGGGACCGGCGGGGGTCGTTACCGGAGCTGTGGGCGCTAAAATGAGGCTTCCAGTGCGTGCGGCTGGCTGGGGGCAGCGCCCGCCTGCACACTAACAGTGGCTGAAGTAGGGAATTGGAGAACTCCCAGCCGGGTTCAGAGAGATCCGGTAGGAATTTGGGTCTAATCTGGTGGTAGCTCAGAGAGAAGGGATTAATTTTCCTTAATTTTCCCTTCTCCGCCTTTAAAATGTTCTTTGGAGCAGCCTGAGTTATTGTCGTAGATCTCATACATTTATGTGATTGTTCTAGTCAATGGTGCTGTGTTAGCTCCTATACTTTCAATAATTCAACGTGTTCTCATAGTAAAAACTTATTTTTGTGGCAATAACTTCAGCTGTAAAGTTCCTCCTTTCCATTAGAACTTTGATCATTTCAAGAGGCTTGTGTTTTAAGAAAGTAATACTACATTAAATACCTGAATTACATATTTACCACATGCGCACCATCATACATGACCTGGATTTAAGCTGTTGAGAGCCTTTGGGACCTGAGATTTCTAGGTTCAGGACAGGGTTTTTTTTAATTCACAGGCCTGGCCATTAAGGACGTTGGATCTTGGCTGTGTCTCATGTTCCCCATCAGGCTCAGGTAATTCGTTACTTTCTGTTTGGTGAAAAATGCCTTTTCCCTCTTCCCAGTCTCACTGGGTGTGGGTATCAGCGGCAGCTACGCCTATGAACACAACAGCTTAACAGCACAGGGATGTGCAGCAGGTTGTAGGCAAACACTGCCAAGCAACCAGCAAATCAATAGTAGGTGGTTTTCATACGGCCTAGAAAATACCATTATTTGAACTTTGGAAGACTTCCTATTGCCAGGACATACGATTATGTTTTCAATGTGATGTAACCGTGCTACCTTCTATCTGGGGCTCTGCAGAATTAGGTCAGCTCTGATTTCTCTGGGGAAAGAAACCACCACACGCCAGAAAAACAAACCACCAAAACCTGTTTCAAACCCCTCTGAACCCTTCAGAATACTGGGTGTGTGCTGTAGTCCTCCATGGTAAGAGACAACATGATTAATGTTACTTCAGCAAAGTTTGTGTAGTGTCTCCTAGGAACAGTAGTTTCTGCATCACTGCCTTATGCCTAAGTTTGGTGAGTACTCGTGCAGAACAGTTCCAGTACGTTAAGTCAGTTGGTTGCTTACAGAGTGCTGAAAAATCTGCTGGAAACGGTCAGAGAAAGTCTAGTTACGTGTTGAGAAAGAGGGTGAAAGGCAAATGGCACGTGTAGCGTCTGGGAGGTCACCCACTGCAAAAGGCAACGAGGAAAACTCCTCTTTAAACACCCAAGTATGGAGGTGAAAGGTGGTAAAGGATCAAGGCAGTCCTCCTCTAGCAGTTTGTGATGCCTTTTTAATTACAGAATTTGGGCATTTTATCTTAATTTAATTAGACCAGCCACCTCAGTATTGGTTTTGCAAGTAAGGTCTCCTTGGGTAACTTAGACTTAACCTATAAATTTAAATGTACTTAAATGGAATCCCACTGCAGGGTTTTACCTGTGAATCCTGCTTTAAAAAGTGTCCATTCCCTTATAGGAAAGGGATGATTTTTACTCCTTTTATGTGTTTCTGACCAATACCACATTCTCTGCAAACCAGCTGAAGCAGATCCATGTCCCTGTAAAAATGTGCATGTTTATAACTAGAATTAGACATTCCTTTTCAAGAAAACATTCACATAATGAATGTCCCCAGCTCAAGAGACATGTTCTTGAGCAGTATTATACCAGAGAAGTAAGAGCAATAGTACTGTGAAGAATTTGTGTTTATTAGTAAAAGCAAATATAGCTCCTTTCTCAAATCACTAAGATATGCTACCTAAAATTGGGAAGCCTGTTTAAATGCAGGAAAAAAGGCAAGTTTAAGTTCTTAGCTGAGTGGTAATGAAGAGTAAGACAGCTACAGTGTAGTGCCAAGCTCTGGGAATTGTTGGAGTCAGTCTGTTGCTGGCTGAAGCAGTGGTCATCCTGCTCTATACCAGCGTTAAGCTGTCCTTGCTGCCAGCAGGGAACAGCCGACTGTTGTAAATTGTGCTATTGCATAAGCGTAAATTGTGGTATAATAGAATCGATTGGACTGAGTTGTATTGCAGAGCCTGCCCCAGGAATTTCTCTAGTTGCAAAATTCCTTGCCTTAGGAATTGCTCTAGGACAAGTAGAGACCAGCAATACAATCTTGTAACATCCAGTTGTCCAAGAGAAGCACCTTCTGCAACAGTGATGCAAGTTTGCCATTCCTGGGATGAGCCGTTCCCAGCTCACAGCTATCAGATACATGTAAACGTCAGAGGTAATTTAATCAATTGGTAGTTTCTGTGATCTCTAATACAAAGTCTCTGTATTGTAATAAGATTACAGTCAGATTGAAGAAGGTCAGTGATGTGTCAGTAGGGGGAGGGAAATCACAGAAACCTGCAGGTAGTAGTAAATGAGTTAAACTGAGAACTGTCACACACACACACACACACACGTTTGTGGGAGATTTAATCTACTACTGAATTCAGCTTTCCTCTTCAAGCACTCAGGTGCCCACTTCCCACTGCAGGACAGGCCTTTGAGTCACTTTGTGCCCAGAAGCCAGCAACCTAGTGGTAGTTTTGGTTGGTTGTATTAAAAATACACTTCATTATTCTGCCCAAGAATGCTGAATTTGGGGGAGTGTTTGTCTGAATTCACATGTTTGAAATACCTGATACTAGTTCTCCAGATAAAATTGTTTTAGCCACTTCATGTTAGCCTTCCTGTCTTCTGTAATCTCTGCATTGATACACTTTCAACTGATAAATGTATGCCATAATTAGACAAAACAGTTCAGTAATGCATGTCGCTATTTATATTCCTCAGGTTAAAAGTCAGATATGATAGAAGAATAAATAGAGATTCTGAAGAGCATTGTCTTAATACATCTCATACCAAATGTAAATATTTCTATTTCCTCCTGTCAGGCAAGGTTAAGAGAAACACCCTGAATTTGTTCAAAGAAGCCTTTCAGGTGGTACAATGGAATAAATGAATAGAAAAAATACAGGAATTTCATTTTATACTTGCATTAAAAAGAGCTAATTCCATACTGATTTTTTTTGGTATTTAAATGCATAACCTATTCCTTATTCACAAAAGGTGGTGGTGTGTCTGGTTTGTTATAGCTGAAGAAAAGGAGAAGAAAGTCTTTCTTCCACATTTCCAGTATATTGGAAAGCTGTCGATGAAAGCTATTAACTTACAGAAAAATGTCATGATGTGAAACATCCTCCAGTAAAAGCAAATATGCATTGTTGAGTTGTCCTCCATCAAATAATATATAAATTCTGGGCTGTTTCTAGAGATTTCATGCTATAATCCTTAATGATGAGGTGACAGTGGAACATTTAAAAGGGCTTTTGTAATGTAAAAAATAATTACATCTTTACTGAAAAAGAAAACTCATTTTGTCCCTGTCCATGGCAGGGGGCTGGAATGAGACAACATAAGGTCCTTTCCAACCCCAACTATTCTATGAAATTCATCACTCACTGCACACCCTTGTAAGACATTCAGAAACCATGATGGATTTGGATGCTGAATGAGAGCTTGCACATAAAAGCATAGCGGACTTTGTTGTGTGACTTTTGAAGAGGGGAGGAATTTGAATTTGTGGAAGAAAGGAGTTTTAAGGAACTATAAAACCAGGCAGTTCACAAGCTTCTCTGTTCCAGCAGTCCAGGCAGACACCAACTTTGGAATCCTCCTCCCACCCTTGGGGAAAACAAACCACACGCACACTGTGGGGAAAGAACAGAAGAAACCCCACACCAGAAAAACAAATCCAAACCCCACTACACGTTTTAATTCAGAATCACTTGCACATCTTAAAGGTCAGCACTGGATTATATATAACCTGACCAAAACTCCCCCTGGAGCCTGTCACCAACTGTCACGTAGCTATGAATAGGTATAAGAGTCACACACTTGGGAACATTCATTAGTTTGAAGTACTACTGATATCTGTGCACACAGAAACGTTCCACATAATTCACTTAAGTTCTCTCCAGATCCTAAATCCCCATCAGCAAACCTGAGCAAACCAACCCAATCATTAGTGTTATTCTTTCACTGGCACACTTAAAGGAAAGGCAAAGGCACCCCTTTGTGTGAGTGTGTATCATTTATTGTAGTTCAAGAGTCAGGAACTGAACAGAAGACACAGCGAAAAAAAAAACACAAAAGAAAAACAACCTTTTTTTTCAGACTTAATTTTAAAACACCATGGTTTCAAATCCTTTTTAAAAAGGAAATTCAAGTATCAGATGCAGGGGGCAGTAAATACAAAAATGTCTGTGAATCTTTTTTTTTTTTAGTTATTTTTTTATTTAAAAATGTAAGTCTACATTTCCTGCACCCTTTCTGCTTTGGTAAGGCCAAGCCATGGATACAAATTGGTACGCAACATAAAAAATGACCCCCTGCCCCAAACTGCAACCTCCGAGACTAAAAGGATCTGCTCTCTGCAGACAAGCTCTAATAGCTCAGAACTGTCATTTAGCATATATCAGATCTGCAGCATTGAAAGAATGGAGTTTGTTTCTTTAAAAGTCACTGAAATCCTGGTATTCCCGAGCATCGCATCCACAGCAGCTGTTTCAACATGTTTCTATCTCAAGGCTTTTCAAAAATACCAGAGCATCTACATCAACAGAAAGAGAAGGGACAGTTCAAAGAACGGAAATGAAAATCCATGTGTGAAATCATTCCTTTTTTGAAGTTATCCTTGTGTCTAACACCAATTAAAAACCAAAAATGCAAATATGTGTAATAGAAAAATACGATCCCAAGATTAACACTTTGTTGCAGGCACAGCTATCCCACGGAATATGTTCTTTTGAGGGCAGGGGAATGATTCTGATTTTCACAGGGATTTTTGTTTTTGCATTACAAAAAGAAAAATAGGACAGCAGTGCAGGTTTGATGGAAGAGGGAAAGAAAAGGAGGGAAAGAGGAAAAAGTTACTTTAGCAGCAAAATGTCCAAGGTTCTAACCACAATCAAATTAACGGATATCTGGCTGTAAAAAATAAGGTTGAAGGGATGCTGCCCTGATCCATTCATCTCTGCTAAAATAATTCAGCTGTAAGAACTCCAAAACGTGACATACTGAAGGACAGTTTTGTAACATAAGCAACTTCCTAGCTTGTCCTCCATGTTATTGACCATCCTTATCACTTAAATATATGTACAAGAATTAAGCTGCTTTCCTCTTCGTCCACATGCTTCTGGTCACCACTGGAAGCCAGTGCCAGTGGGCGTGCTAATCCCATCAACAGCTTGCAAAGGGTTTCTGCTCCACTACCACCCGAACAGCCCACGCCCTGCTCTTCCCACTGGTGTTGGCGTGCACTGCAAGGGAATTCTTAATGGTCAGCGTTCTGCTTGTCTCTCATCCAGGCTTGGATTTGTTCTTTAAGTTCTGGCACTAGTAATGTAAAGGAGAAAAAAGAAGAATTATTAATTTGCAGTTAAATTGTAAATATTCTACTGTAAGGAAGCTCCTCATGACTAATTTCTTTTCCAGAAACCTAATCAGGAATGCCTTCTCTATCAATGTATTTTCTGCACAGCTTTGAGTAAATGACTGACTCATTTCCCTACCACAATAATATCCTTTGGCCTGGTAGTTATGAAGTCAAGGACATGGGATTTCTTTCCCAGAAGAAGGGAAAGCAGAAGGAACTAACCTTTCTGTGCACACTGAGATGAAGGAACCATTACTTCCATTGAGGCCTCAACGCTATCTTCTGACAGTATACAGAACAGGGCTAGAGCACCTCTCCTGTGACGACAGGCTGAAAGATCTGGGCTTGTTCAGCTTTGAGAAGGGTCCAGGGAGACCTTGTAACAGTCTTCCAGTACCTAAAGGAGGCTTCCAAGAAGCCTGGAGAGGGACCTTTTACAAAAGCATGTTGGGACAGGACAAAGGGGAATGGATTTAAACTGAAAGAGACTGGGATGAGATCTATGGAAGTTCTTCCCTGTGAGGGTGCTGAGGCGCTGGCACAGGGTGCCCAGAGAAGCTGTGGCTGCCCCATGCAGTGTTCAAGGCCAGGTTGGATAGGGCTTGGAGCGACCTGCTCTAGTAGAAGGTGTCCCTGCCCGTGGCAAGGGGTTGGAACTTTAAGGTCCCTTCCAACCCAAACCATTATTGTATGATTCTATGAGAACACACTGCATGCAAATTGCTTCCCCCAGTCTGTAACAGTTCCACTGGTGAATATTAAACCAATACCTGGTTCCAGCATATTTTCTGTCAGTGTCTGACGATTGAAAGGGTCAGTGGAAGAGTTCAACAGATGTCTCAGGATGATTGACCTGTCCATAATAGTTCCAGAGGGCAGCCTCACAGGATCAGTCATCAGGGTGTCCATAAGTGGGTCTGGGGGCACAAAGGGTCTCATTAAATTGGAGACAATAGCTACAAATTTTATCTGCACACAAAACCACAGTGCAGAACTGATTATTCAGGGTCCCCAGTCAAGTATGTTGCTGGAGATACAGAAAAGGGTTAGTACAAGCAGTGGACTTGAGCCTTTATTCTCTATTCTCTATTCTCTTTATTCCTTATTATTTTCCCTTCCTGAACTGGGACAAAGCATCAGGTATTTTAACTCTATTTTCAAATTATTATTTTGTTTTAACTGTGCTAAAGTACATGTAAGCAAAACATGCATAGGACTGGATGTATGATCCCAGGGAAAGCAAAAAGAAACTCTTAGCTCTATTTACTTAACTATTAAATAGAAACGGAGCAGGATGCAAGGCTTCTTAGACAAAACCAAGTTTCTATTAAGATACATCAAAGTAACAAGCCAAATCCCTCTTCTCCTAACAAGCCAGTATTTAGGAATCTCAACTTGCCTCTGAATTCATCCGGAGCATCGCTGTAATCAATTTCTGCACGGGCATTCTTGGCAACAATCTCCTCCACTTTCTCTGCCAGAAGTTTGAATTTCTCTATTGCTATGGTTGACTTGATTCCAGCCTTCCTCATCTTGGAGATCACCTCCTCAAAGAGCTCTTTACTGTAGGACCTCTACAAGCGAAGCATAAAAAGACCACTTTGATGAGCAGTATCATCCTAATATGCCATAAAGATTTTAATGCAGTCTTTTAAGGTTAAGAAAGAGGAATCAATGAAACCTCAGCATCACATCAGGCAGAAAACATTTCACCCAGTCCATCTTTGGGGTGGACTTGGGCTTTTTTTTACTGGTCTTCACTGTTGTAGAACTGTCCAGACCAACAAAAAAGGCAACATCACCTAATCAAAACGATCAAGACATTCAGAGAGCCTATAATTATTAGCACTGTTCCTTTGACAACACATCCATCCTGCCACTCTTGTCTGCATTCTCATTCTCACAAGTCTTGGCTGGAAACAAAGCACAAAAAGAGAAGTGGTTTTGATTCTTTAACTTCTTTGATAATGTGCAAGGCAGCAATGGGAAAGAAGTGATTGTTTCTCCTAATCCAAACAAAAACCCCACCCCGTGATGTTACAGAAATAGTAAAACAACTCAGAGGGAGCTAATGCTGGTTGGGAACTTGCCAGGCTGTGCAATCAGAGCTGTACAGCTGCACAGTACAACATTGAAAGGAACCAACTGCATATCCTATAGTTTCTACTGGAGCGAGCATTGCTCTCATGTAAAAACAGAAAGTTAGGCAAGGGCTTTTGAAAACTGCTTATGTTCTAAAGACACCATTTTCTTCTCAGTTCACAATGCCATGTTTTGATATAAGCCTTTTAATAAAATTGTTATTTACCCTGCAGTGCAAGGTTGAATTAAATGACAAAACAAAACCACGCTAAGTCTCACAGATTTCTGTTTTCCTTGGGGGTTTTAAAATGTTCAGCACAGCCCTCCTCCTTTCATCTACGCTACATCACATCAAGAAATACCATTCACTGCTTGGGGCACACAGTGCCCACCCAAACTCCTTTCTAGCCCAAGTGAGCAGAGCTATGGCAACACGCCCAGGGCTTTAGAAGTGTTTTCAGATCCCTTCTGATACGTGCTAGGATTTGCAAATGGGAAGTGTAT